AAAATGGGCCCATTTTTTGTCAAAAAAGAAGCATGAATAGCCTTCGGGAGGCTTCCAGAGTACTCCTGGAGGCTGGGAGGGCAAAAAAGGAGCAAAAAATGGCCCATTTTTTCACAAAATGAGCCCATTTTTAGTCAAAAAAATGGCATTGCATAGCCTTTAGGAGGCTTCCAGAGTGCTCCTGGGGACTGTGGGGCACAAACAAGCAAAAAACAGGCCTGCTTTTTGCTCATTTTTGCCCTTCCCAGCCCCCAGGAGCACGCTGGAAGCCTCCTAAAGGCTATGCAATGCTATTTTTGCAAAGGGGTGGGGTTTCAGGAGGCCAAAAATGCTGTATTCACTGTATAAGACGCACCCAGTTTTTTACTCTCTTTTTAGATATTCCACAAATATGGCTTGGATCTCTAAGGACTTTAGGTGGCAGGTATCCATTTTTGTGAAACTGTGCGATGCAAATAAAGTTGCAGCCTTGCTGTTTTTCAAAGCTAAATAATAAAAGAAAAGAAAATTTAGGGGAAAAACCCCCTGCATATTTGCTCAGTAGATTGTTCATTTTTTCATGGGACACTAGTGTATCTTACCGCCTTTTGTTCTGCAAATTCCTCCGAGCGCTTTTCTGAATCTTCTGCTGATTTGTTTTGCCACTGATTCTAATTTTGCAAAAGGAAAGAATAAAAAATCACTGCACTTAGTGAATGTGGTAGAATTAGAGTGTGAAAATGGTTTACACATAAATTGTTCTCAGGGTGAAATACCTCATTTCATGTGTCTCATGCCTGAACCAAAAAATGTAATCTGGACATGGAACAAAATGGAGATGCTTTGTCCTGGATATGGATCAAAATGTACAGTAGTTTGGGAGGATAAGGGGTGGGGAAGCAAGGATGATGGTAGCTGACAGGAGTCAAGGAGGAAGGAAAGCCAAGTTCTGAAAGATGAGGGGGAAAAGCTCATCAATGTTGCCCTACTTACTCTATAAAATCACTGTGTGATATCTGCAAGTTTTATCTGACCCAAACACAGGTGTTCCAGGTTTAGCTTCTGCTGAACTGTGACCAATCTTTGGCAAAACTTTGAAATGTGATTGTTTTGAGTTCAAAATGAAACTCATTTTCCATTTTGTGTGTACCCTGTGGCATAAACATTGGGATGAAATATAGTAAGTCAAAGCAAGCAGATTTATGATTTGTGACAGAATAGGTTAATGTGATATGCATTCCAGGAAGGAGAAAATTAAAAATGGTTTTGGGGCACATGTTCACAATTAAATATACAGAAAGTTTATCAAACTTTTCAAAATCATCAACCACCAAAACCATTGTGTAGTAGACCATTTGCATAAGACAGTCTTCTTCCTAGTTCCCTAAATATTTTAAGTTGCAAGACAGTCTTCTTCCTAGTTCCCTAAATATTTTAAGTTGCAATAACTTGATGTGAAACCAAGTGAAAAGAATTTTGATGAGGCGAGTGGGTCCATATAAAAGAAATTATGAAATAATAGAAAAGAAATTTCTGTTAGATACTTGCCACTAAGAATATTCTTCTGCCATTTTGTTCCCCTATCTTTATTTTAATGAAAATTCAGTCCAGTTTCATCAGAAAGGGCTTTCCACCGAAGGCTAACTCATCATATGTTCATCATATCCACTCTCACTGCCTATTTTAGATTTTCTTAGAAGAACATCCATTAACATGGGAAATCATTCTTTAATTTTGTAGGATTCAGGTATGGGAGTGACATCATTCCTTTCTCTAAAGTGGATGAGGAACAGATGAAATATAGGACGGATGGGAAATGCTTTGCTGTTTTGGGATTCTGCCGATCTTCTCTGGTGTGTCCAAAATTCAGGTGTTATCCAATTGCATATTTAAACAGGCCAGACAGATTGCTACAGATGAGTTGCAGATTATCTGACTACTAATTTGTGACAGAAATAGTGCTTTCAAATTGGTTTATATTATAATTATGTGATATGTTCTCCTTCCATGTATATTGTGTATGGTGACGTCCTCCTCCTGCTGTTTGTCCCAATTAGAAATCTGTGGATACTATAATAAAAAAATTAGCACTGCATGCTGAAATCCGAGAAGCTCACAGGCTTTACTGAATCATTTTTCAAAGCTCATAGCTTAAATGCCCCATTTGTCTCCATAATAGAAATAGTGGTAAAAGTATTTATTGAAACTAATAAAGGAATCAGAAAGGAATCAGAAAGGAAAAAGATCTGCTTGATATTAGCGTTGTGTAGCATTTTTGAGGCAACCAAAGTTGTTAGAAAAGGTTCACACAAAGCAAAACATACCCATGATTATTCTTCACTTCCCCCATTTTGGCTTAAACTACAGGAGAGACCAGATCCCTGTTTCCACAGGTATTTGACTCAGCCTTCTATCCTTCTGAGATCTATAAAATGAAGACCCAGATTGTTGGGGGCAATATGCTGACTCTGTAAACTGCTTTGAGAGGGCTGTAAAGCACTGTGAAGTGGTATATAAGTTCATGTGCTATTGCTACTGCTACATATTTATTCATCTAAACGCTTGATTGCTACTTCCCACAGTGGTTGTCAGATTTTATGTGTGTTCCTTATAAACACAGATTTAATGCTGTTTTGAAAAATTACTAGGTCTGTTGTTTAAACAGGGCTTAAACACTCTCTTGAGTACTTTTCATTATCTTTTAGCTCTAGTTTAGGATGATGTAGTAGAACCATTTACCCTAAAGGGAATTTGCTTAAACCAAATAGTAGGACATTTGATACTGAAGCATACATTGGTTTATTGACAGTACTGAAAACAAAGGCAAGCCTAGAATACACATATGATTGGATATAGCATTGCATTTAATTGGATATAAATCATCATGTGCATAGTAAGTTTGGGGAGCCCATTAGGGTAGCTCTGTAGTGGGACAGACCTTCAAAGAAAATAGGGGTTTTTGAAGGGAAAAAAGGCAGTATACTTTCTTTCTAGGAAGTTAATTTTCTTTTGCTTTCCTGGAACTTCCTTTCCTTCCCAGTATCTTTTCCCAACTTATCGTCATTATCATATTTCTAAATGTTTTTATGGGTGAACTGGTACTTTTAGTTTCCTGGGAAAGTATTTTTGGAAAGAGTTAGTTTTGTTTAAACTTATTCCATATAATAGTCCTGTGCCTAGTTTTCTTCGTGGAGATGTTTTTGGGTTAGGGCTTTTTATTTACTCTCAAAATTCTTCACTGAGCTTATTTATTCGTGAGGCTTCTCACTCACCTTTAAGAATGGCATAGCTAAAGGACATCCCCAAAATAGGACCATCTTGGATTTACTCATTCTGGGGGTCACTGAAAATTGAAAAATGGTTTCTGTGGATTATCCATCTTTAGCTTACAACTAGTTGATAACTTGGCATTTCCCAGGTATTTATTTATAGAGGGAAAATGTCCAGACCAAACGTAATTTCTAATGTTGGATTTTCCCCCTTACCAGAGGGAGCTCCTTGTGGAGTACTGTGAAGCCATTACCATGGCAATTCCACTGTGCTGTACAGTAGAAGTCATTTTAAGACACAACAGGCTGTATCTTAACAGAACACTCATCCCAAGAGGTGTTAGGGGTGTCTTACGCCCCTCCCCAATAGTATTTGTTTTCAGAGAGTAAGTCATCTTTGTGCCAAGTTTGGTTGAAATTGCTCACAGTGTTCCAGAGTTATACTGGAACACACATACACACACACACACGCACAGAGGTGTGTGTGTGTGTGTGTGTGTGTGTGTGTGTGTATGTATGTATGTATGTATGTATGTATGTATGTATGTATGTATAAACAGTTTGTCTGTCGGTCTGTCTACCTCAGTGTTTCTCAACTTTGGCAACTTGAAGATGTGCGGACTTCAACTCCCAGAGTTCTCCAGCCAGCACCTGAGAGTTGAAGCCCACACATCTTCTAACAGCCAAGGTTGAGAACACAGGTCTATACCAACTATTGTCAAGCCAACTCCTTAAAAAAGCTATGTATTACAATATAATACCCTTTTCCATTTAATCTTTCAAATGCTGGGTTGGCCTTCTTAACACTTGCACTTGCTTCCTTAAGGAGCTCAGTATCATAGCTAACTTTCTGGCAACATTCTAGGTTCAGACATACCGATATATGGGGAACCAAGTCCTGAAAGTCTTCGCAGCAAAGGATGATGAGGTGAGATAAACTAAGCTTAATACTGGATAAATTATTCATGTATTTTTAAACAGTCAGCTTACTGAACAAAAGCTGAGTTGACAATTTTCCATTTAGTTTCGCAAAATGAAAGAAAGCTCAGTTACTATAGGAATAATGAGAACAGCATGGAGTTGAAAAACAACCCAGTTTTAATCCAAGAGCAAATAACACCAAGAAAGTATTTGTATTTATTGGGTATGTTGGAGAGAGAGCGGGGGCGGGGATATATATATAATCTAGAAAAGAGATAAATTTTAGGTATCCATACTGAATAGTTCTGTCTAAAAGAATATTTGTTCACATGAGGTTAGTCTTTTTGAGAAATGCTATAAATAGTGAATAGATGGTGACCACATGGGATTGAAATTATCTTTTACTGAGGGGTTTATGTATCTTTTTTGTTGCATTAACTTTTCATCCAAAGCAACTTTGGGAAGATAATTACCACATGTTTTAAAGATAGCATCTTAACTGAAATCTTGATTTTGTGACCTGACTCTGCCATATAATGGTTTGCTAAGCTTTTGAAGAGCCAAAGCTGAACTTCAAGTCAGAAGCTAAGAGTTTAGTTCTAGGTGAAATGTGTCTTCATTTCTTTGATTCTTCATTAATATTCCAATTGCTAAGTTCTAATGACATTAGAAATAACTGAGGGTTTTTTTTTTTACAGGCTGCTGCAGTTGCACTTTCTGCCCTAATTAATGCTTTAAATGAGTTGGACATGGTGGCTATAGTACGGTATGTTTATGATCGGAGATCGCACCCACAGGTTGGAGCAGCCTTTCCACTAATTAAAAATGAATATGAGGTAATATTAATGACTGAAGAGTGTAGGAATATAATTCAGAGCAATAATGTTTATGAAGATTTCCTCCATTCTATTCAATCGCCTATCATTAGAGCAGAGAAAAAGAACACTAAATAGGATAAATCGCAGAAAGAATGGAGAATTTCAGATTAATATTTTCAAAAGATTTTAGACCTCATATTGTTCTAATAGTAGGGCTTTTCATTTTGAATCTGGATCAATTTTCAGAGGAGTTTTTTAAAAGTCTTTATGCAGTTGCTGTGTCACTGAAATAAATTCTGCATCACTGTGAGGTTTGTGTTACACATAATATTTGTCATTAAAGAATAACAGAGTTCGTTTTAGGGTTGCTTTTTCATTAGAACAACATGTGAACCCACCCTTTATGGCTTGACATTATGTATGACTCAGGACATTATGACTCAGTCAGCAAACCATTATGATTCATACAAGAAGCCATTTTTGTATCCTATTATACTGTTCAGTGGGTAAGTCCAGCAAAAATATTTGTACTGCTGTGTCATCTCTGCAGCATTTACATTTAACAATGGGGGACGTACTAAGAGTTGGTTAGAATAAATCAGAAGTACATAAAATAGCAATTTTATTTTATTTTACTTTATTTATTTATAGCTCAAGACCAGTCATAAAAGTAAAGTACAGCAAACATAAGAATAAAAGAAATAAAATAAGGCATAATACATGAACAATTAATAAATAGAAGGATGCACCAGGTGGTGTCTAAAAGCCAAGACCGTCAAATAAGAATTTTGTAACCTTTTAAAACGATTTCTGAGATTTGAACATATAGAAGGAAAGCCATAATCAGAAGCAGTTAAATTAGTATTAATTAAGGCTGAGTTTCAATGATTATTGGCTATGTACGGAAATGAGTATTATAATAGCACATGCAATGCAGAATCAATCAAGTACAGCGTTGTGTGGAAGGTTAGTCTATCAGTTGTCATCCTAAAGGATAGTGCCCCAATTCTTGCTAAAGTAAAATTGTCTGTAGGAGCAATTTAGGAGGCAGAGGCAATTATACTCTAGAAAAGCTAAGGAACACAGCTTCTGTCAGTATAAATATCTAAGGCTTGGTTCATCTAGAGTAAAATTATTTAAGGTGACCACTAATGTCAAGTTCTTCTGATGCAAAGTATCAGATATGAAAGTAAATAATTTAAGATTGTATGAAGGATTGAATACAAGAAGAAAAGTCTCTGTGTATTGAGAGTAGTTGATACTGGTTATAGTCTTCCAAAAAATACAGTCCAGACCAGGATAATGATGGTGATATTTTGATTCCTGTGTTTTTTTATAAATAACACAAGAGGGCAAACATACCTAATGCTCCTTCCTCTTAATTTCCTCAAATAATAACCCTTGACATGGGTTGGGCTGAGTGTGAGAGAGTGATGGCCCGGTTACCCAGCCTACCTTCCTGTACTATATTGAATGTTTTAATTACCGTATTTTTCAGACTACAAGAGGAAGAAAACAAGAAAAAACATAGGCCTCTGCGTGTCACATTTTGGCCCTCCCTGGACCCCAGAAGCACTTTGCAAGCAAAAAACAGGCCCATTTTTGGCCTCCCATATCTTCCGTGTGTCCCGTTTTTGCCCAAAACATGCCCATTTTTGGCCTGCAGAGTGCTTCTGGAGGCCAGGGAAATGCGATGCATGGAGGGTTCGGAGCCCGAAAATGGGTTTTTGGCTAAAATGAGCCATGCGGAGCACTATAGAGTGCTTCTGGGGGTCAGGGAGGGTGAAAATGTAATGTGCGAGGGTTTGAGACCCCAAAAATGGGTCCGTATTTGGTCTATAAGACACACTGAAATTTTCATTCACTTTTTTTTGGGGGGGGGTGCATCTTATACTCCAAAAAATACGGTAAATAGTAATTTACATTCTATTACTTCTTCTTCTTGTTTTAAATCCACAACATGCTTTTATTCCAACTGCATTTTCTTGCCATGTTCTTCTATTTTGTTCTAGTGTTTGGCTTATGTGCAACTACCCTATATGGAAGATTTGAGGCACTACATGTTTTCCTCCTTAAAAAATAACAAAAGGTATACTCCAACAGGTGAGCTTACATTTTGAATTATGTGTCTATAATGTGTGGATCTTTCATTTTATTAGAAATCGTGGCTTCCCAATATACATGCAGATGTTTAGATTATTTTCCAGGTGTTTTTGTTTAGTTTTAAGCTTCCTCCCCAGTCTTTGGCACCGATCTTAAATGCCTAAGGATAATCAGGTTAGTTCACTATTATTCAACTCTAACATATCCTTTAGTTGCTATGAAAATTGACTCATCAAATCTAGCAAGGGGAGAGTACAGAATATACTGTTCAACAGTGTGCTTCCTGGTGTCTTTCATCTGACTGAAACTCCTTTGTTGTATTCAAGCAACAAATGATGTGTTTGTGATACAGTGCATAGTCTGAGATACATTTTTTTCCTTTGATTTGCTGGTCTGCCCTCCCTCTTCCTAAATTAAAGAATTAGTTACATTTCAAAGCAGATAGGCTCACTCGTGAACTTAAAAATAAAGGGGAATCAGAATATTTTGAAGTCTGGGACAGATTTTATGATTGGTATAAGACAAGGTGACAAGACTGGAACAAACTGTATATATATATATTGTAATTGGACAGAAGGATAGACAATATAGGCTAATAGTTAATAATAGGCTAATACTTAATGGTTGAGACTAGTTGTATATAATGTGAATGTATCGCCATTCATTCACATTAATAATGCGGTACTGCATTATTTTAAATGTAAAAATAATAAAAATATATTTTTTAAAAAAGAATGTGTTACATTTCCTCTCACATTAAGATTGGGTTTAAGGTGTGTGTATATTTCTTAATAGCACCACTATGCACTGAGACATTATCAATCCTGTATTCCTTTTGTAACTGGGTTCTCTCTATCATTTAAAAGATTAAAACCATTTAAATGGTTGGTGATATTCAGAAATGCAATTCGAAGATTGTTCTGTTAGAACTAGCCGTTTAAGAGGATTATGAGATCTAAACTGTTTTTTTTAAGTGAAAAAAAGATTGTTCCTTATCTTAAATGTAGTTGATGTAAATGACACTCCGAAAGTAAAATACTATAATGTTAAAATATATATTTAGGAATAAAAGCTGTCATATAAAAGACAGACTCCTTCCTAATGGGAGAAATGAGAGTGCTGTGATCAGAAGAATGAAGATAAATTTTTGAAGGTGCTTGAGATTAAAATAATTCTTTTAATTGTATTTAAAAACAACCTATTGTGAGACACACTTGGCAGAAAAAATAGGATGAAATTAAGCAGAAAATGTGACATCTTTTAGAATTTGTGCAGAGAATCCAAGACAATGTAACTTTATAAACAGGGATGATGTCAGGAATATCTAGAAATTGCCTATTTATATTCATTGTATATAGTTCTGTGCTTCTCTTTTGTAGTTTGATGCTGCCCGTTTATTATCTGTAATAGGGTTGTACTAGAACTTGGGAAGCAGAGATTCAAGTATCCACTCAATGGTCCAAATTGGATCAGTTATAATACACTCATTCTCATCCCACCAAACTCAATAGAATTTTTGCTATAGGGATAAAAATTGAAAACCAATTTTCAATTCGTATACCAATGTTTGGGAATGATACAGTCTGAATCTGTTAGGATTAGGAAGAGGGGGAGGTTGCAGTTGAGTACTGCATGAATTCCAGAAGAGTTTTCTGTACCCCCACCCCCCCAAAAAAGAAAGAAAAAACCCACCTGATCTTTCATGATAGATTTTCTAAAACTAGGGTTCCCCTCTAGGTTTGTCGAGTTCATCTCCCAGATTTCTCCTTCTAGCTGGGCCATTGCTGAAAATTCTTGAGCTTCACACATCTGAAGGGGAGGTTGGAGAATACTGTCTTCAAAAGTGAGTCAAAGTGTAGGATCACTCTTTAGGCAAGCCATTAAATATTAATGATGTTGCTGTGTGCTCTTTGCATTTTTAGTGTTTTGCATTTATCTTGTATCTTTATTACCGGTACTTTTACTTTTTTTATGTCTATGCTATGAAATGTTTAATATGAACTGAGATACAGACAGCACATTGAGTAAATAAATATATAAAATGGCAGGAAAAATATGTTGCATTGTATTAACTATTTCTCTATCTATATTTGGTAATCCAGAAGATCAGCTGTCTGCAGTTGACTCCCTGATTGATTCTATGTCTTTGGTTTGTGAAGATGATAGTGAAGGGACTGTGGTGGATATATTTAAACCCAGCAAATTCCCAAATCCCCTGTTTCAAAGATTGTACCAGGTAAGATATTAAAACTTTTCCTCGTTCTTCTCAGCCAGATGGGTTATGTGGCCAGTTAGGTTCATCTTGCATGAATTGATTGATTCCCTGCCCCCCAGTTTAACTTGACCAAACTCTATTGGGGTCAGCAGCTGTATAGGAATTCAACCATGGCTGTATGAATTCCCCACCTTATTACCTTCCTTACATGTCCTGTGCCCACCTCATTTAACCAAAACTATGCAGAATCCCACAGTTCTCTCATTTCCTGGGCTCCATAATGAGAGCTGAGTTTGTGAACTGCTATGTTGAAAAACCTGATATATTCAGTTAAAAAAAACAACAACAATTGCCCAAGAGACCAAAAGAATGATTTGAATTTAGTGGCTGGAAAGATGGTTAGACAACTCTTTGAATAAAGGGGAGGAAATAAAGTATGTTAGTTCTCCCCCCCCCTTCCATCTGCTATGAGGGTGGGATCAGAATCATGTTTAAATCAAATAATAGGATGACATACTAAACTATCTTAATTTATGCTTACCGAAAGACAAAATATATTGAGTTGCACAACACTCTCTGTGATACAGTAAGTGGACCATGCTGATTGGGTTTTCACAACTCACTACACTATAAAAAAACAGATCAAGATTGAGATTGATCCAGATCATTTAATTATTGAGAGAAATACATGCCGCGGAGCAGTGGAAAATGTAAAGCCGCCTGTTTTAAATAGTAGGAGTAAATAATAAACACAACCACAACAATGCTAATCTCAGCAAAGGAATTAAAATTTATAAGAACGTAAGTAATATCCTCAACCACCAAACCCATCAACACCTTCTGACCACCTTTGCATATATCAAATACCCAGGTTAATCTATAATCTAAAATAAAAGGAGAGAGGGACCCATAATTTTATTGGAACCGGTTCTTACCCAATTTAGATTAACATGCCTGTTCATAACAATATAAGCTATCATAGCATGAAACAAGCTCCTCTATGCAAGAACGAAGTACGTTCATTATTGCAGTAAAAAGCACTATTGTGTTTTATTGACTTTACAGTAAATTCTTTGTTGTGGGTCATTAAGGATTCGGTGGCATCCAGGTTTAATAAATTATTATTAATAAATACTTTCAGATTACCCCAAATTCTTTGTGGTTGGCAAATGAGCAATGTGTATTGAGAATGCTCTGTGTATTTTTGTGCAACAGGAAACATATTACAGCAATTCACATAAGCTATGTAGCATTTCCTCCTGCAGTGCTTAATCCTCCAAGTCCCAAGTAGACTAGCCTATGCATATTGCTTATTCTAGTCTCACAGGACAATATGAATGATACATGGAAAAATTAACGTTTCTGTATTGGAAGAATTGGATAGCTTCATGGGAGTTACTATAGAGAAGTTGGGGGCTTCCAAATGTGAGACACTTTAATCATTTACTATTTGCCTTATCAGGAAATATATGATAGACCTAAATTCTGATACAGCAATATTTTTTTATTATTGTATTCTAGTTTCAAACCAGTGTTTCAATATTAGTTCCACAAAAATTTAGGTAAAAGATAAATTAGTGGACCAGAGGAATGTCGTCAATATAATTTACTTGGACTTCAGTAAGGCATTTGATAAAGTAGACCATAACCTACTACTAGATAAAGAAGAAAAATGTGGGATAGACAGCATCACCACCAGATGGATTCATAACTGGCTGACCAACCACACTCAACGTGTAGTCCTCAATAGAACTGCATCTACATGGAGGGAAGTATGCAGTGGAGTACCCCAAGGCTCTGTTTTAGGCCCAGTACTCTTCAACATCTTCATCAATGATTCGGATGAGGGGATATATGGGGAACTCATCAAATTTGCAGATGACACCAAGCTGGCAGGAATAGCCAACACTCCAGAAGATAGGCTTAAGATGCAGAAGGATCTTGACAACCCTAAACATTGGGCACTATCTAACAAAATGAAATTCAATGGTGAAAAAAGTAAGGTTCTACATTTAGGCAAGAAAAACAAAATGCACAGGTACAGTATAGTTGGTACCTTGCTCAATAGTAGTAACTGTGAGAGGGATCTTGGAATCCTAGTGGACAACCATTTAAATATGAGCCAGCAGTGTGCAGCAGCTGCCAAAAAAGCCAATACAGTTCTAGGCTGCATAGAATCAAAATCACGTGAAGTGTTAATACCATTTTATAATGCCTTGGTAAGGCCAAGCTTGGAATACTGCATCCAGTTTTGGCTGCCACGATGTAAAAAAGATGTGGAGACTCTAGAAAGAGTGCAGAAAAGAGCAACAAAGATGATTAGGGGACTGGAGGCTAAAACATATGAAGAACAGTTTCAGGAACTGGGTATGTCTAGTTTAATGAAAAGAAGGACTAGGGGAGTCATGATAGCAGTGTTCCAATATCTCGGGGGTTGTCACAAAGAAGAGGGAGTCAAACTATTCTCCAAAGCACCTGAGGGCAGAACAAGAAGCAATGGGTGGAAACTAATCAAGGAGAGAAGCAACTTAGAACTGAGGAGAAATTTCCTGACAGTTAGAACAATTAATCAGTGGAACATCTTGCTTCCAGAAGTTGGGAATGCCCAACACTGGAAGTTTTTAAGAAGATGTTGGATAAATGGTATAGGGTTTCCTGCCTAGGCAGGCAGTTGGACTAGAAGACCTGCAAGGTCCCTTCCAACTCTGCTATTGTATTAGCTTCCTCTTGAACTTCAACAAAGAATGGAAAAGTTCTACATTCAAAGGGAAGTTGTTCCATAGTTTTATTCATTTATCAGGTCTCTACACAATTTTGGATAGTCTAATGTGAACTCATCAATGAGGGTTTGTTGATATGCTGACAATAATGACCATGAATGTTTGCAATATTTTAAACCTTTCATCACAAACCATATCATACAATGTCATCTACTTTCAGAATGTAGTCAAGGACAAGTTCATATTTGTCCTCTACAGCAATCTCATTCTGTATTCATGGAAAGGTATCTTCCATCACAACAAGAAAAGTGCAAAATATACCTGTCACAGATTGAATGAGTCATAGATAAACTGATTCATAGATAGATCCATTAATTTACTGATTTGACATTGCTTATTCTCATGTGATCTTTCATCAGTGCTTGCAACATAAAGCTTTTCATCCTGATGCACCTCTACCCCCCATTGAAAACCAACTCTTAGACATGTTGGAGACCCCCCAGAAAGTAACGGAAAAATGCCAGGCTCCCCTTCAGAAAGTAAAAGCTCTTTTTCCCTTGAAGGAGGAAAGCAAAATAAAAGAGCAGAAGACAGCTCAGTCCATCTTCAAAGACAAGTGAGTTAACAGTACTGCAAAAATAGTTCTTTAGCTGTTTGTCATCTTTCCTCTCCTTTGGTACTTCTTTCTATAGGGGGTACATCATTGCCTCTTGGATGGCTGGTCTGGCTGCAAGTATTTGTTCAATAACATGGTATCCGAAGACGCTCTTAATGTTCTAATTGTATGTAAAGCTAGCTTCTATCTTTTGCATCCTTAAAGACTTGATGTCAGCTAGAGCTCTTTCTGGACTTGGGTAGTCAATAGTTGGATGAGGGACCACCAAGAATTTTAGGTCTAGGCTGGTCTGGAAAATAAAGACGCAAAAAAGTTTCCTGAATGTTTTGGAATGGCAAATCCTTTATTTGTCCTACAAATATGCATTTTAGTTCTCTGGAGTATGTCTGGAAGCTTATAGATCTCCAGCAATGGTCAAGCCTTTTTAGAATTTTCCAATAGCATCATGGGATACAGCTTTTCCTACAAACAAATAATAGCACCCCGAATAAGCATCTTAACGTTTGTTTATGACTTAATGCACTTTTTTGGGAAAATTCACCCGCCCACCTAAACATAGGAAAGAAATATTCTTACCCCAGCTTTGGAAAGATATCCATCTCTGCTCCAGAAAGATCCAGATGCTAATGTGTAAGGGACAGTCATGAAACTTTTCCTGGGCTAAATTGGACTTGCTCTTTTTAATGAGTTTATAGGGTAATTTTCTACACAGTACTTCAGGGGATTTAGCCCAGTCATACAAGAATAATGAAGGATCAACATATTCTGGAGACATGGAATTTTTTTCCTCACAGGAAAGGAAAATCTGGCATGAAAAGGTTGCCTTCCATCTGCATATCCTGTACTAGAAAAAAAATAGGGGACTAAGCCACAAGCAGGCCTTTTGTCATAATGTGTACATAATGTTCATTTCTTCTGTCTAATGGAGAGAAGCTACAGATAATGACATTAAAATTGCATCTTGCTAAACCCTAAGGCTTGTTTTTGGGAAGCCGATTTGGATGTTCTTGAAGGTCATCCAACGGAAGAGCATATTTAATTGGGAGTTTTTCTCATAAGTACTGACAACTGCAAACTGATATTTAATAAGCTCTTAGGTATACTAATCTGAAAGATGGTTTAGAAGACATTCTGGGTTTCTGTGTACAGAAGTACTTAGTAGCTATCAGTTTGAAGATGGGAACTAGCAAATTATATTAGAAGGATAAATAGATTTTTCCCCTTAAATATAAAATTCCCATTATCACTAATGTCAATTTAAACATTAAAAAAGAATTTGATGTGATTGCAAAGTACTATTAAAGTATTCACATATATACACATGTCAAGAGGAGGATATATTAGTAAAATACAGAGACAATAATATTTGATTTTCCGGTATTCAGAAAAAGCATTCTGTAGCTGGTAGTGTAGTTCGGGTAGATATCTCATCATTCAGACATCAGATTTGATTCCTTATTTTTCTGAATAAGTTCTGAAACAAAGTATAATTTGGAAGGAGCTTGAAGGACACTTGAATGCCTAATACGTATCTTCTAAAACTATTCTCACAGTATATGTGATTACTAGATTATTTATCTTGAGAAGAATTTCTTCAGATTGATGGCCTTATCTTGTTCCAGTAATGAAGATGGCCCCAATGCTAAAAAGGCAAAAACAGAAGAGGGTGAAGCCAGTTTCAGGATTGCAAGCCTCTCTGAAGGCAATGTGATTACAGTAAGTATTCTTGGCAAAGATTCTGCCATAGAAGAGGTTGGATTGGCTACTGTGTTAAAGGTATCCTTTCTTGATGAGGCAAGTAAGTACCACGAACTGGATGATTGGCCTATTTTTAGGCCATACCCGATGACCTGTTTGGTCATTTTTTCCATGTGTGGAAAGTGTGATGATTGAAAGAGTGTTATAGATTATTAGCCTGCAATTGGGTATAGTCAAGAGCCTATGAATGGTTTCCTCATAATGTGCCTTGTGAACACACACTTTATTTCAAATACAAATAGATTTAGTGATTAACAAAGCATGCAAACTACATCCTATTCTTTGAAGCCATGATCTCTCTTTAAGTATACGTTCTCTTTTTAAAAAAAAGATTTAAATGGCATATGGATTTAGAGCCATTAGTTGTATGCTTCCTCAGCAGAAAGATGCACAGTGTAGAGTTGGGATTGTGGCAAATGCTGTTCAGTATAAGGAAATGCAAAGAGATGCATGTTGTCTCTGAAGACCCAATTACATGCATGGATCTTAACATACATGTTAATGGTTATAAGTATTGATGATTCTGCATCACATCCCGAATCACAGACAAGTGCCTTAAATACTTGAAGAAATAATGAAAGATATTTGTGAGTTTTCCTAATGCATCTGTTTGCTCCTTGTATAATACACAATTCTGGGCTTGATTGGCATTTCTTCTTCTTTTTCTCCTCTTCCTCCTCCTCCTCCTCCTCCGCTTCCACTTCATCACTTTTGGTCCTTCAGACTGCTTGGACAAGTCCCTGCAGTTTTCTTGGCAAGGTTGACATGAGGGTCCTTGGTGCTCTCTTGGGCTTGCTTGTTTTCTTGCAGACATTTCGTTACCCAAGTTAGGTAGCATCATCAGTGCTAGTAAGAAGTGCTGTTTGCTGTCAGTTTTATATTCTAGTGCATTGATGGTGAATGTTTTTTGGCTCGTGTGCCAAAAGCGGGAGGAGTGCAGGGGCGCTCGTGCATGGGTGTGCCACACCCATAATGCTATGTGCACGACAGCGCTCCCCCCCATTTTTGGTGTTTTTTTTCACCCTCCGAGGTTCCAGAGGCTTTATAAGAGCCTGGGGAGGATGAAAACAGCACGAAAAATGGCCCTATGGGCAAACCAGAAGTTCAGGAATGGACTTCCAGTGTGTCCTTAGGGCCGTTTTTCATCCTCTGGGTCCTTCAGGGAAGCCTCCTAAAGGTCCCTGAAGGCTCCGGAAGACAAAAAACAGCCGTACTGACAAACCAGAAGTGATTTCCGGTTTGCTCGTAGGGTCGTTTTTTGCCCTCCAGAGCCTTCAGGGAAGCCTCCTGAAGACCCCTGAAGGCTCTGGAGGGCTAAAGCCAGCCCCATGAGCAAACTGGAAGTGCATTCCTGAATTTTGGGTTTGCCCATAGGGCCAGTTTTTCGTGCTCTGGAGGCTTCAAGGAGGCCCCCGGAGGGGGAAAAATGGCCTCAAAAGAAGGCCGAATACACGCTGGCCAGTTGACAGGGCAAGCCTCCCATGCCCTGACAAATGGCTTCCACGCATGCCCATCACGGTTCTAGTGGCTTGCTTGGGAGTGTTTGTGGGAGTGGTCTTAGAGATTCTTTGAGTCGGCTGTTTGCTGTTGGTTTCCTTGGCAGTTTCTTGATTGAGGTATATTGATTGTTGATCTGATGTTAACCTTGGAGTTAATATATGCTGATTTGGGTGCTGATTTCTAGTGGAGTGCAAAAAGAGCCAACCACTCTGCACCAGCAGTCAGCACCCAGATCAGCATATATTAACTCCAAGGTTAACATCAAACCAACAATCAAGTAAGCAATACCCCAATCAAGAAACTGCCAAAGAAGCGGGACTTCCTGGGAGGGGCTTACTGATGGAAGCAGCTTAACATAGCTGCTCCCGAATTCCTGGTCGCATTATCTGTTAGACAATCATCTATCAGACGTCTGGCAGGTTGTTTACCTTACTCTTCGGGCAAAGAAGAGAAGGTGAGCGGGTTCTGCTGAGCAAGTGCCTTCTGATCTTTGCAGTTTTTTTGTCTGCGAGGAGAGGGGGGCCAGCTAAGGGCAGAACTGCCTCCGTGCCGGGGAATTCCAGCTGCCTTTGCAGCACGAAGTAAGCTCTTTCTTTCTCAGAACAAGGCTTGATTTATTTGATTTCAACACGAGCAGGACTGGTATGCGAGAACTTTAATTGTTTATTCAAATCTTAGCTTCATTTTTACGAGACCTTCTTCCGTTAACCTAGCTAATAAAGATTTTAGGATTTTAGGATTTTATTTTAGGATTTTATTTT